AATTTATTCAAAGAGAATAAGGGCTACGAACACTTATTAACATCCTAAAGAACGTTTCTGCGCAGCGTTTCGCGCTAAGATCAGGCCTGCCAAGTTACATCAGCCGTATTGTACTATAATAAATTGATTTGGAACATATTTTCGTTGCTACCACCTACATACGTAAACCTATCCAGGATTTATTTAAGTAAGTTATTAATATCTAGACGTCCTTATAATGCTCGCTCTTGTAACATGATACCTAAGAATGTGTCCATTAACACCTATTCTCCCCTTATCAAGGCATCACATTGTGTGATAATAACAGGTCTTTCTTTCATTTTTCATTAATGTGTATCTATATTTGGATTCAGTTCAATCTTCAGTACAGTATCAATCTTAGAAATATTAAATAGCTTTATTTTTATTTGGCCTCTTTTAGCATTGCTAAAAGTGACAATAACTACATAGTATAAAACAAAATCACTTTTTCTGTCCCTGTGTACGCTTAAATCTTCAAAGCTACGCAACGGATATTGGTGTGGTTTTTTTGATAGATAGAATAATTCGAGAGGAAGGTTTTTATATGCAACGGTCACAGCGAAGCGAAGCCGGGGCGGGTCGCAGGTTAGTTTAAAATTGTCATTTCTCGTTTGGGCTTCTTAAACTTAAATGTGAATATACGTTTCACAGCTTTTAAGGCTAGGGGTGGCGGTTCGAGCCCCAGTCAGAATATCGATATAACCCTATCAACTTAAGTTTTAGACTAAACTTAATACAGATGTTTAGTCTTAAACCTAAGAATTTCATTTAACTTATGGCTATGTGAATGAAGAGTGAAATTCCGTTTCCGCCTGCTTACTTAAATTCGGTTTCGCCCTGCTTACCAGAAACAAAATGTTGTCTGCCCAGATTTGAATCCAGGACCTGTCGTGGTTAACGAAATTCTAGATAACACATTTAACCATTTGGCTAGAGGGGTGCTTTTAAATAAAACACTTTAACGGTTTAAAACGCGATATATTAGTTAAACTTATTTGAAAATGATATACAGACATATATATATCTGTATATTATTTTTATAGACAGTATCTAGAGGGTGCTACTTAAATAGGCTTCTGGCAAATCGGGCTGAATCCTACAATTGGAGATTTTCAGATCATCCTCAATTTATTACAATTTAATAAGCGCCATTTAATAATTGACGAAGTCTGAAATCGTAAAATTTCGTCTCGACTAAAACGGAAACTTGGAATGATACTTAAGATCTACAGAGACGGTTTAATCCAAGGCTTAAGAACTTTTCAATGCAATATTAAAGTAGCTTACTTCGATTTAATGTTGTTCTAATTTCGAGATTCGATATTTTGTATATTTGAAGCGGTCTCTGAATTGAAGCCAGTCAGGACTTTACATGGAAAACCAAACAATAACAAATTTTGCTTTTTACAATACAACAGAGTTTGTAGCTATGTAAGTAAATATTTTATATACATCAAGATAATACTTTAATATTTCAACGTTAAAGTATTATCTTGGGGTCTATAAAACTTTTCCTTAGACAAGCCACTAAAAACCAAAACACGTTACTTGCGTTATATTCTGGCGAATATGGCCGGTTCTTAAAAGCATTGTATTTTATTATTAACTAGCTAACCAGGAAAACCTTTTCACATGAAGAGCTTCGACGAAATTTGAATACGAAAAACCCTTCTTGCGGGTTTTTAACATTCCCCTTTTTGGCCTTTTTTTTTTTTTTTTGGGGGGTTTTTTCCTTTTTTTTATATCTTGACCTGTTGAATCATTTCTCCCGTTTTTTACATATTTCCTATTGCTTTTGCTCCTATTTAGCTCACCATGATGTGTAATCGAATCTTAGAGACTGCGGATTCGAAATGAAAAAATAATGTTTCATATCGAATCAGCAGTTTCTAAGATTAGTGCGTTTAAACAAACAAACTCTTCAACTTTTTAATATTAATAAAGATGTTATTATTGTATGCAATTTTAAATAATTATGACGCTCCAAAAACCCCCTCGTCCGTTTTCTTAAGGTTTTAAAATGGATATCGACAGATTCACTTTTTGTTGAACCGTTCTTTTTTCTTCTCTATGTCTCACACACTCACTTTTTCACAAATAAATCACTTATTTATTTTAATAAAAGAGTTGGCGTTAAGGGAATTAAAATCTTCAACATAGTCCTAAGCATCGTTCGCTGGAAAAGTATATCCCTCGTGTTCCGTACAAGCTCTAAGAGAATTTCTTTTATAATCATGAATGGAAGTAAAAATAAGTGTAGATGACAACTTTTAAGGCTCCATTGAAAATGCACTTATGTTGCACTCGGAGTGTTTTCAAAGCTAAATAGAAACGTGTTTAGTTTACTAATATTACGAAAGATACATTTAAAGGCACTTTTTTAATGAATATGTATTTCTATCGCTAATATATAATATTTCACATTTTTGTTACACTGCATTATCTTGGTTTTCTAATGCTGAGGATAAGCGATAAGTGCGAGAGGTTCTGGATTCGAAACCCGGGAAAACATACTTAAAGCCGGTATTATGAGTAATTTGTCTACTAAACTATCTATACTAATAAATAGGTTAAGAACACAAAAATATGTTCATCTATTGCCTCTGTGGAAATTTGTGTATAGTTTATAGTGAATTTAGTTGTAACACAGCCACTAGATGGCGCTGTTTGGTTATTTATTGTTTTGAATCGCGGTGATAAAGTGTTTGTTGGAAAGTGTAAAACATCAAAATTTATATTTCGCTCGCCGCCCGGTTGTTTCGTGGCTCCTTAGGAACACATCTAAGAGTCCATATATCATTATCTATGGTTACGCGCCCACTGCTTCTAGGCAGATGATTCAACTATCGGCTAATACAAGGAGTCTGTTAAGCGCGTAATTGGCTCATTAAGAAAAGACCTCAAAATGTATCCCCTTGAAAACGTTAAGCACAAGGAAGCACAGGAGCAGATATTAAGGTGCAACAGTATTTAAAGGACTTTGAGACATTAACAATGTTAAAATAAGATCCATACAACTTGGCGGCTTCTTGCTTCTCCACTTGACATATTAATGTCGATAGTAACGAGCTCACAAGTGAACAAAAGTAGCGATTAATTTTGTTTCTATTTGTACCATACTATGAAATGTATTGACTTTTTAATTAGACCAGGCCTTTTATGTTTTCTGCACCCCAATTTTTATTTAAAAAAATATACTATATTTATTATTTACATATTTATAAGCAAGTGTGACCTGTTAAGTGATATTTGTTTTCAAAAGATTTAAAATAAATTTTAATTAAAATAATTTTACAATCGGGTATAAATAAATTTTAATTTGTGTAGAGATTTAAAAACAAGCAAATCTAAACAATTATTATAATTAATGAATTAAAAAGTTTATATTGTGTTGGGTAAACCTTTTATCGAGGAAGGCTGTGGCTAACATATATCATATAACACGCTGCGACTATTGGAAGCGAAGAACCAAAAAAATAATTATAGAAAAATCCCTTTTAAATTTATCTTTAAAAATGTCCAACGACACCACGACAGTATATGTCTATCTATTAAGATTAAATCACAAGTTTTTATGGTAATCAAATGTCGTCGAATATTTCATATGGCAAAATAACGTTTGTCCGACAGCTACTTTAAAATATTCGTGAAGTTAGCGAACGTAACATTTGAGTAATTAACGCAACACGTTAATTACTCAAATGTTACGTTTTACATAAATGATAATCAGTTATTACTAAGTGTGCAGATAACATAATATAGCATTATTCTTGCGCATAATCTGTACCGATGTCAGATACCATTCTGTACCGACTTTCTGTTCCCAAGATATGGAAATCGTGCGAAAACTGGCAATAATAGTGACGGCGAGGATTATGAGATCACTGTCTACTGTCTATGCCCGCGTTATCCGAACTATGTTTAATCCCATTTGAAATTCGAATTTAAAGTTGGAAGGAAATTAATTTCCTGCAATTTCAGAGACTAGATAAAGGCGATATACTGTGGAGGTTACTATTTTGTTAATATTATATATATTTATTTTCAAGAACTAACGGTTTAAAATGTGATATATAGTTAGTTGATTTATTTGAACATTATTTTGGCTGATGCAGAGCATCCGAAAGGTTGTGCCGTAGTTAAAATAATCGCGTTTATAACCGTGCAAGTGTTTTATTTAAAAGTGTACTACTCGCGTAATGTATAGACAGAAGGATTATTGGACTGGCCATCGGGCCATGCCTAATTTGAGTATTTTCGATTGTTCAACGATAAAAAGGTCAACAGCGCATCTGAATTTGATGAAAGGGCTGCATTTCATCGCCCTTGCTTTTCCGTCATAAGAAAATATATGGCTTCATTTCAATGCTGTTATATATTTCCGAAGTTAATATACAGAAATATTCTTCTACAGCGATATTAGGTTCCGAAAGTTAAGTTGTAAAACAACAAGAGCCCACTATGACCCTTTCCAACAATAATACAATTTTGCTTGATAAACCCTCGATTTAATTAAAAGCGGGAATTTATGGGATAACTTGGACGCCTTTTGTAAATGTTTCCGTCAACGTGAAATATGCCTGTGTTTTGAGCTTACCTTTTGAGATTATAAGAAATTTAAAGGATTGTTAAAAAACCCTTTGCTTCATTTTTTATATTTCAGCTAGTGTTATACTTTTATTTTTTATTAGTAGGTAGTATATTCTAATTAAATTAGTGTATCCTGTAGTCACGAAAGACTTTCTCCTAGTAATTCTGTTTTGTAAGGGTTCTATTTTGTATTTGACACAATAACCCTTCAGGTAACTAAATTTTAAATGGTTATTTTATGTGTCAACAAAAAAAAAAACACTTTAAAAACTCATGTTTGATTGAATACTATAATGCTATGTCGATACTTTATGTGTCATTCAAAATAAAAAATAAAAATTTTCAGTTATGTCCACTTTGAAAATGTCTAAATAAAATTATTTTAACAGCGGATGGCGTGCTGTCGACTGTCAACGTGGTCGAAGCCCTGCAGGAGTTCTGGCAGATGAAGGCGTCCAGAAATGGCAACACAGCTAGTGGTGGGAGCAGTGCGCTAGTCATCTATGAGTCGGTCCCAGCTGCACATCCGCCCTATGTTTGCTACGTAACTCTGCCAGGGGGCGCCTGTTTTGGCAGTTTTCAGGTAAAACCTTTTTGTACTCAGAATCACGCTATATATCCCTAGTTAGTGATTAACTGTGTTTTAGGACTCGATCTTCGTGTGTTTCAAGCAAAACGTAGTCATTAATAGTTCACATAGGTTTTTCAGGTCACCTTTTTCTGTTAGATCCAACTCTGGATCTCCGTAGTTTATATATATAATAAACAAAGATTCAACATATCCTTGTAACAAAGAAAATAAAATTAATTTCGTCAAAGTAACCATACCGTTACGTTAAACCTTTATCGTGTCGCTCAGTTATTGAAGTGTTACCAAAATAGAGTTTATAAGTACCCGCGAATTAAAGAGATTGAATTTATGTAAAGAAATTGTTATATTCTTAAGAAAATATCGCAAACAAAACGTATTAACACAAGTTTAAAATTCCTATACGCGTTCCAAAACGTTGAAACACGAAACTTTATTTTAAATTAAATTCTGTACCAGTAATATAATATTTCCGCCATAACTGTTACCTAAATGTCGACTTGACCGTATCGAGTCGTTATGCAATAAATTGCTATTAGGCGTTCATTCACCAAGTCTCTCAGACGGCGATCATTGATGAGTCATGCTTAATTGATAACGTCAAATGTATGCCAGCTGTTGGCGAACTATCGATGCAGACTCAATTATGTGTCTGCTTTACTTTCGAGTAGTTTATCTAACTTCTGTGTCCTGATTAAAGGAAATTTATTTCTACCTCGAGATTCACATTTAGAATCTCTAATTTTTACCGCTTAGTCTCATTTACTGCCTCCAGTTAGTTCACATGAATTTTATCTGCCTTTCGTTTTTTCTGTGGAATGGATAAAGCTTAGCTTATGCTATCCAATCGATTTCCGGTTTCGGCTATTCATACAAGCACAGATATACGATATAAATAAAATACTTTTCTATTAGCGTATGAATCATACCTGTTAAATGTTTAGGCGTTTTTTGAAGTGCTAGTTCTATTATAAAAGTGATCTCTTTAGATACAATGAAACATTTTAACGGCTTTAAATGCGATATATATTAGTTTACAAATAATTTCTAACTACGACCCGACGTTGCTGATGCTTTGCAGCAAGCAACTGTAGACACGTTTATGTCTTATTTAAATGTGTACTTCTCGCGTAAGCTACAGACAGTATTTAGGTACAGTGTTTAGAGCTTTCTTTAAATTAGTCAAACATACGTACGTAAAAAACCTGTAAATTGAATATAATATATAGATATTAATGTCCTCTTATTGTTTAAACAGAATTGTCCGACGAAGGCAGAAGCGCGTCGGAGTGCAGCGAAAATTGCTCTGATGAATAGCGTCTTCAATGAGCACGAGTCCAGAAGGATATCTGAGCACTTCATAGAGAAGGCAGTGGCTGAAGCAAGAGCTTCCTTCGCGGGGGATGCAGCTTCTCATCACCAGGATTCCAGCGCTGGAATCGCTGCATTTAGGTGGAGTTAATTTTAAAGAAAAGAAATATTAATCTTTCGTCTTATAAATTTTAATATTTTTAAAATATTCGTCTTACATAAAATTAAAGTATATAAAGATTTATTTATTTTGTTAATTAATTATTAAAAATTGGCCGTTAAAAACATTTTTTTCCCTCCCTTGTTGATTTTATTTACTGGCACGCAATTGATTAAACCTCTGTATCTTGCCTGATTGTCACAATTAATTTATTTTCGAGATTTGAACTCAAGACTTCTAGCATTGAAAGCAATGAATTTATCCAGGAGCTACGGAGGCCTAGTCACGTAGGACGTACTTCATAACTGTTTCTATTCAAGACTCAAAAGTTCTGAATCTTAGCATATATTTACCCCGTGACCACGGCTTCTGCAAAGCATCCGAAACGTCAGGCCGTAGTTAAAAATAATTTTCAAATAAATTTAACTAAAATAAATCGCGTTTTAAACTGTTAAAGTTTTTTATTTAAATTCTTATTCTTCCAACAGATTTATGCTGGAAGCGAACAAGGGTCGCACGATGCTGGAATTCCAAGAACTGATGACGGTGTTCCAGCTGCTGCACTGGAACGGGTCCCTCCGCGCCATGAGGGAACGGCAATGCTCGAGGCAAGAGGTGGTCGCGCATTATTCTGCGCGTGCGCTGGACGACGCTATGCGCGAGCAAATGGCAAGGGAATGGGCGTCCAGGGAACGAGAGGCCCAGGCTGGGGGGGGAGTGATCCGCAACGAGCTAGCCAGGGCGGAGAGGGAGCTCCGTGCAGCCAGGGTAGCCGCGAGAGAGCTCAGGTTCCCAAAGGAGAAACGCGACATTCTTTTACTGGCGGCACGCCTCGCTCCTACTAGCACTAGTGATCTCAACGCGCGAAACTAAATTTTGTTGTATTTTAATTATAGTGTAGTGTAAGCAGATTGTTGTTTTATTTATAACTGCACTAGCTGTACCCTTGTCTTCGCGTGAAATAGTTATTTTGCACATCATACTATTTATTTTTGTAAACCTCCTCAAGTTTATAAATTATAGCTATTCACCCGCATCTGACACATCGTTATTCTGAGATAAAAGATGAACATATACTGTTGAGCCCAAATTTTTAGATTATTAAAAGAAGAATTATTTTTTTCATATATGTATATGTTTTGAACTGAAGCAAAGATTGAAGGAAGGAGCAAGTTTGAATCATTTTACCCGCTTGTATCATATTTACAGTTTTAATTACACATTTTTTAAATTTTAGCTAAGGAGATAAATGCTTTCAAACAAACAAATTCTGATTATAGATATATGGCTTTAAAGGGAGTTCTCAAGTCGATTCATGTGCGTTCTTGTTCTACAAACTGAAAGACATTCCTTGTTGTTCAGGTCAGAACTCATTCGGGTGACCTATCGTCCAGCTTCACTAGCTGGGATGACATATACTAGCAAATATATGATAAGACATCTGTGCTGATCCCAACAGAAGGAGTTTATTGTTATGTACTGCGAGGAGACACAATTAATCATAACAAAAATATGATAAAGTAAAAGTAAGCAAAAAAAGTACTCAGAAAAAAGGAAGTCGTTTAAATTTCATAAACAATTTATTGAACTTTTCTTAAAAAAAAATGTATTTAGTAATTGTAAGAACAACATAGGCAAGCCGCAGCCCCCAGTTTTTAGGCCCGTCTGTGTTTTTTGTTTTCAAAATAAAATTATAAAAGATCTCATTTGCAAACATATATACACCAGTAAATTTTTAATAAAGTCTATAGTTTACGCGAGAAGCGCATATTTTTATAAAAATTATTTAAAACGCGAACAAGTTGTTAATAAGTTCAACTAAAATATTTCGTGTTTTAAACATTTTTCGCGTTTATGTTAATAATAAACTAATCTATAAATAGACAAGGTTCAAAACACAGAAACAGAATGTGGCTGGAGATTGTAAATCAATCACTATTGAAATGGGCAATAAATCTCTGAATAACTTGACAAGGTGTCGGCATTATCTTCTAGACTATACCAGGAATTAACTTAGCCCGAATAAATCTAGCTCAACCGCTATAAACGATTAAAGAGCACTCAAAGCGAAATTTCAACAAAGTTTTACTTCAAGAGTTACCGCATCACGATTCGCGAGCAAAAACATAAAACGTTCAACGCAATTAGCTACTCATCTTTAAATTTTGATATACATATATAGAGGCTAGATTCGCGTGGATAAGATAAAAAATATTAAGCAACCAGAAGGTTAAAAAATTAATGAGACAGATGATATTCAAACCCACATATTAAGCCCGAAAAGTACTGTACCAGAGATTCATAAATGTGTTGATCATTTCGAACAATATATCGTTCAGTTATTTCGGACTGCCGCCTATAAATCTAAATGGTGAAACGTGTAGTCCAGTAATGCGTCGAGTTCGAATCCGAATATTTACAGGCAAGTAGTCTGATCAACTACTGCCTGTAAATAACCGATCAGTGAGACAAAAAGAAATGTTTTCGCCGTTGTCCCAGAGGGGAAACAGGTCTCTTGAACAGTTTCAGTAGTTAGTACCCACCAACGCACTCTGGGCAGCTAGGTGGGTGAGCTCTAAGTATATTTTATTTAAGAGGACATCCGTGTAAAACTATGGGACAATTTAAAGTTAGAGTATTTACTTACTTTATTGCTATTAATTATATATTATAATCTGTTTTCCCTGTTATAAACATTTGATGAACTTTAAACATCCATTAAGTCAGAACACTAGCAATCAATTATGTCTAACTAAATCGAACGTACCTGTCATGTTCGCGTAATCTCCATAGTTATTGAACATGGAAATTAATCGATTAATTGCGAACTGAAATAACTCGCTGAAGTTGTTCTAAGGATATACAATACTATAATATGTAGCCTTCATCAGTTGAAAGCAGTTAATAAATGAAAACAAGTTTGTTTATATATATATTATATATATACAATAAATGATAGTGGAAGACAGACACGATGGTAGGTGACCCCAGCCTTATAACGTCTAAAGATGCGCTATCGACTTATTTTTGCTTTGGATATTCGGAAATCCACAGACTGAAACTTAAAGGCTTTTTCGTCTGTAGACTCGGACGGAATTTCGATATTCTTCACACATCACTTAATATCTAGATTTATAGACGAACTCCAACATATTTCAAATATAAATTGATTAGAAAAATCTTGGATCTGGTGGGGATCGAACCATACCTTGTTGATTGATGAGCCATTCGTTACCGTTACACCAACCGATCACTGTGTTGTTTTTCTTAAGTAGTTTAACTAAGGTCATATCTCTCTTTCCAAACGGACTAGCGACCCTTTGAAAGTTGTCTTCCCATCGTCCTATCCTTCCCTTATTAGTGCTGTATCCCCTACATATATATTAATCTCAATTATGAAAGAAATAATAAAGCTCTATCTAAAAAGTATTTACCATAATGCATATTCATAAACAAAAATTCAACCATTACAACTGAATATACAGTGAACCAGGCACATGTAAACATTAACGCGAGTTAAAATAAAAACCTCGTGCAAAAGCCATAACTTAAGACTAAGGTGATTTAAAATTTGTCCACCGTGCAGGCAACCCGAGTGTTAATTATGTCTGTTGTTGGCGGGGATTTACCGCTTTTAAGGCACATTAAATTTTTCATCACATCCCTACAATGTTGCAGTTCGCGAGTACAGTCGAGCGCACAATTTATTTCCGCATAAACTTCGCGAAATGCACGCAGAAAGTTCAAAATGCTGAAATTACCCCACATTTGGGTGCGAGGGAACATTTATTTTTGGTACGTTGTTATAAAGCAGCGTTGGGATAGCTTGGAGGTAATACACATTTGTTTTAACGCCAACAGGTTATAAATAACTAAAAAGTTCGACACTCGGTTACAAGATAGTGTTATAAAGAAAAATTATTATAATTATATTATATTTTATTTAATAATTTTGTATGTGTATGCATTTGTGTCTTATGCGCAAGTTTCTAGGTAAGAATGAGAATTAATGAAAACATTAACTATATGTTATTTATAAAATTGTTATTCAAGAATGTAGTTGTTTTTAATTTGGATATTTTGTCAATAATGTCCATGTCTTGTTTTACAAAGACGGTATTTTACGATATCTCAAATAAATCATCAGAAACATAATGTTTATTCCTACAGATTCAAATTATACTACACAATATATTTCAAATTTCCAATTTAAAGGGAGAAAACAATTTTGCAGACGATTGTACTTACTAGGTCAAGCTCAGTTCAGATAACTACGTCGATAAGGGCTATTGTAGACCGGGAACCACCGCTAGCACTCAATCCTGCCCATAATTCTACTTCAGATATCCTTGCGTTAAAAGCCGAAAAGTACGATAGAATAGAATGATTGCGCGATTACAGTGAAAGAATTTTAAAAATTGCCAACCACTCTTTTTAAGTAATTTATTAAATTATTAATATTTTTTTATTAAACTGATTTTTAATAGAAAACAAGATGTTTTTATTGGACAATAATATGCAATATATATTGATGTAAAATTTTGCACATTTGCGTATCTTACGGTTTCGTAATGAACAATTCTAATTGTTGAGCATACAATAATGTTTATTATTTCACATACTACTTCTAAAATTTAAGAGAATTCTCTTATTTCATTGCATTCAAGAAAATGGGAGGATTTGACAGCGGAGAAGAGGTAAAATATCACAGGTCACGGTTCCATCCGTGTGGACGTTGGTTTACGACACGGGGCTAATTTTAATATTCCTTCAACTTATAGGTGGTTTTAAAGGTAACAAGTATCAACGTAAAAAAAATAAGTTAAACGGTTTTATTTTTTGTGCACTATAAAATAATTTAAATTTTGACAGAATCGTGCTTTACTAGTGTAGCCATTTCATTTGATATCCATATTGAGGGGCTTAAAGAAAAATATGTAATCCGCCATTTTGTATTGGCGGCCATCTTAGATTTATAATGTTTGTATTGTATTGTCATCTAAATTAATATGTGTACCACATTTCAAATGAATACATTCCGTACAGGTCGAGCTAAATAAAAGCTTTTAAAAATGTAATGCCATATTTTATAAATCATTTTCAATTATTGATAACTCGCTATTTGTCTGCATATACACATTTTCAAATATTCGTATAACGCCGGTCATTCATAATTCATTCCGAAGAGGACTCGTAGATCAAATCAGCCGCTGACCGGAAGACGAGTGGCGCGTGTCAATATAAACAGGTGCGTGAGTTGCACCTGATTACATACCGTATAACACCTTTTACTAAAAGTGCCTTTGTACCGTCTAGCATAGAAATAGCGAAGCCTATAAAACATATTATGTTTTTATCATACGAAATAGGAGAAAACTAGGTCTCTATGAAAGAGTAGAGAGGAGAAATATTCTAGCCATATAATAACATTTTAAATAAAACACTAACGGTTTAAAACGCGATATATTAGTTAAACTTATTTGAAAATGATTTTTAACTTCAGCCCGACGTTTCGGATGCTTTGCAGCAGCCGTGGTTACGTTTACTAAAATAAGTTTAACTAATATATCGCGTTTTAAACCGTTAAAGTGTTTTACTTATATGTGTACTACTCGCGTAAACTATAGACAGTATTCATATCTATCACATCTAAAGGAAACATGTTGTAATTGGCTCTTTGTTTTTTTCTATGGTTACACACTATATGACTGTGAGTTATATTTAAAATGAAGATACATATTTTGGCTTAGGACATTCGGAATTCCACAGACTAAAAACGACACTTTTTTGACTCATACACCACTGAGTCAAAAAAGTGTCGTTTTTAGTCTGTGATATCTCGTTTCTCAGGCCAAGGTAAAGAGGTGCATGAGGTCAATAGTTTGAAAATTCGACGATGACGTGTAGGACTCGGTAGCTCAATTGGTCAGAGCAACAACAATGAAAGCTGTGGATGCCGGTTCAAGTTCTACCCGAGTCGTAAGTCTTTTCAGTTTATAATCGATTTTTAATTAAAAATTTACCTAAACTTCATGTGGCTTGGATTGCCATTACAAAAAATGTCAATACCATGCGAAACAACCGCTTTCAATTATTTTACTTCTGCGGTTTTCAATTTCCCTATTCGGCAACTGTCGCTTCAATATTGATGTTTCAAATGTGTTTAACAAGAGGTCGTATAACTCGAAAATGTGTTTCTCCTTAGGGAAATTTAGCAGTCTTACTGACAGTTTCTTATGATATAGGTAAAATGTGCTTATAAGCTTAAGGGAACAGTTTTATTTAAACTAATTATTTTTATCACAAAGATTATGTTGTGTGTAATGTTATCATTCTCACATAAAATACGCTGTGTCAATTTCACTGATTGGTTTACAAGGTTACTCAGGTTTACGAAGTGTACGATAGGCTATATCGTAATGGAAATATCGTTTTTACATAAAAGTCATAATTAAACAAGTAGTTAAACTAGACATGGTTCATTGGCGCAATGCTTTTAACCACTAAGCTACGGAGGTGACAGTCAATGAACAGGAGTTCCTATAATCTCGATTATTATTACACCCCATATAATACGGCAAGACCGAAAAATATATCGGGACTGCAAAAATGTATAGCAATGCGCGGTTATAGTAAATGAGTCCCAAAAATTATTCCGTCTGATTTTATAAATTTAAAGAGTCACACGCCCGCTCACACACACATACACACACCTTCAATTGTTTGCGAATCCAATTATGGCGACATCAGAGCGGTCACCCTTACGAAATGAGACAAAAAGCCTCCGCGACTCAGACGACGAAAATTGCAGCCGGAGACAATTATACGTTTTTATACGACATTGTTATGCATTTTCACTTATAACTGACCGCCCGAATTAGCTGTAAGTGTGTGATTAGATTTTATATGTGCATTCTTACCCGGATGCACTTGGCAAAAATGTTAATACCGACGAGAAATTTTATAAAGTACACAACATAATATTTTGTGACTAATATTTGCAATGGTGCATTTTAGTAAGAAAATATTATTTTAAAAATAGAAAATAAATTAAAAAAACTTTGACTCGGGCAGCACTAGCAGTGACTCGGTAGCTCAATTGGTAGAGCAACAGCACGGAACGCTGACGATGCCGGTTCAAGTCCAGCCCGAGTTGAACATTTTTTCAATTTATTTTCAATTTTAGAATAATATTTTCTTACTAAATTGCCAATATGAGTCGAAAAAAAAAAATATTTATTTTCGATTTTTAAATTATACAATGCAAGTTTTCAAAGAAAATATTAACATAAAACTTTAGATGTGTTAAAGTTTTTAGGCTACTTTTAGACGCCTTCGCAATTAATATAATATTTGGGATTATGACACAGAACGATGATAAAATTGTGGCCAGTTGTTTCGTATATTAATTGGAACAAAAACATAGAAATGAAGTATTATAAGTAATGTTTCTAGCTTACGCGACTTAAATTGAAAACAGTGGTGGGGACGGTTGCTGTCAAACTAATCATAATTATAAATAAATTAACCACCATACTTCGCGCTGTAACCGTTAAAACGATTCTATTTTACTAAGTATTATATTTTATAGAGAAAATATTGCTTTTTTTAAATATTCCATTTCCACCCATTAATATTTGCATATTTACAGAGATTATTATTCAAAGGTTTTTACGAAGCGTGATTTTAATCGGGGCTTCGTGCGTTGTTTTTAATGGTCTTTGAGTTATATTTTATATTTTTCACTAACGAATGTCTGCCTCGTTGCCTGTGCTTTGTACAGGGTACAAATACCGAAACACAAGGTGTGGGTAAGGGGGGATGGACAACTATAGAGACAAGATCTTTCAGGACAAATCAATTCGTCAAATTTTACTTTTAAAGTGTGTTGTGTCAAACAAAGTATTTTTTTGTTTTTTTTTACATCAGCCTATAGATTTGTTCGTCCACCTTGTTATAAAATCATTTTTTTTATTTTAGATGATATATTTTACCTCACCTAACCAGCAATAACTCCCAATAATCAACGGGTGTTGGGTTCGATTCACACTGGATCGAACATGTTGCTAATAATAATTAATAATTCTTTTGAAACATATTGGACTTCATCTGGTAATGCCGATATTAAATGCGTTGTAAGAATTTCGGAATACCGTCCAGGTCACGAACCACCGTAATGAAAAGGCGTCAAGTTTAATCGCGTTTCGGTTGTAGTCTGTGAACGTCCGAGTATCCAAAGCTACAATAGGTCGATAGCACATCTTGTTTAGATGTTATATGGCTGAGGTATTTCACCCACCAACAAGTGGACCTCACGTGCTTGACTGTACTCCTCTAGCATAAAAAATCTAATACCTACGTATCGTAAAAATTTAGTCACCTAAATCGATGTATTTACCAGGTTATCTATCAAACTCTGACACTGAGCGATTGTTAAAAATTCGCTTAAAATATTGTCAATCTCCTAGATAAAGATACAATATTATGGTAATGGAATTTTGCCAACCAACTTAGTAATTTATGTCTAACATTTTTACTTCATTAATATTTGAAAGGAATACTCAATTATACGTTTTAAAACAATTTCTCCAATTTCTAGATAAAATACTTTTACAATATCTGTGTACTGTATCTGTTTAAACAAAACCTTGTAAGTATTACAAAAATGTATAGATTTAAAAAAATACGTTAAGGGTTTAAAACGCGAAAGATATTAGTTAAACTTATTTAGGCCCCTCTCCTCGTGACCATGGCTGCTGCAAAGCATCCGAAACGACGGGCCATAGTTAAAATAATTTTAACTAATATACATCGCGTTTTAAACCGTTATAGTGTTTTATATAAATGTGTACTACTCGCGTAAACTACAGACAGTATGTATAGATTAATCACTATAAATTAAGTTGTACCGAACAACGTGTTCTCAACAACGAAATAGCAAAACACATATCACACCTCTAACCAGGGTCAAAAGTCAACTGGAAAGCTACCTAAGACCTCTTAGATCGTAAAGATAAGTCTACAAAAAACTTGTTAGCGATTTGTTCGGTAGACATCGCGCTGTCGTTATCACATCGTCAATATTCGTCAATTGAACATTAAGGCTGCGGTCCGCTATAAACGTTGTAGACCACGTACAGCATAACATGGTAAGCGGCAGGTCAGAACATATCATGGGTAAAAAAACGTCACATCTACAAAGGTTGTCGACAATCGAAAATAGGAAAAATGATTACAGATACGGTGCAAAGCATTATACGCCAAGATCCAAAAATATCCATTTATACCTGAGTGTTAAAGCGAAGAATAGGTCGATAACGCATTTTCTTTACATGTTATATGACTGGGATATTTCACTTTTCATCAAGTAAACTCAGCACTAGTCTG